AACTGAGAGACTTAAAGAGAGTCAAGCCCAAGCATTATTATTAATATTCTCCATCGTCAAATGTTGGACCCAGGCCAGAGAGGGTTTTCTGTGATAAATTTTTTCCTTGGATTTTATCCTGTGAGACACATAAAGTTTAAGGCTGTCAGTGAAGAAGCATTCTGTAAACCAGCAACAACTGACATTTTGGTCTTTAGAAGCTAAGTAGGTATGGCTCCAATCTGAGAAGGATAGAAATTTTTGTTTAGCAAAGTGTCTTTGTTGGAGAAATTATAGAGCATGCTACAATCATTAAGTCATTGAGCCTTCCTCTTTGCATAAAACATGTACTCAATTGGCCGGGTATAAATCTATTTTTTTTTTTTGCCCAAAATGGCAGAGGAGAATTGACATGGGATGGGAATTGAGCTTAATAGTTTCAGAGATAAGCATCAGTCATGTATCAGACACTCTTCTAAACACTGATCTGCAAAGAACTGTCCTCTTTAACACATCAGGGGTTATCCAGCCTGCAGAGTTATTCAGCAAATATTTAGAAATCAAACAGCCTTGATGTCCTAGGCTCAGCACCATATTGTAGATCACAGTGGCCAATAAGATGGACAAGGCCCCAGTCTCATGAAGCCCAAGGTCTGTTTGGGGGACTTGAAAGCAATTAAATCACAAACAAGAGAATGTTAGATGGTGGGTGATGCTGTGGAGGTACTCTAACAGGATCTGGATCTGGAGACAGAGTGGGAAGGTCTCTGAGGAAGTGACACTGGGCAGAGACTTGAATAAGGAGCCAGCTGTGTAAAGCTACAGGGTAGAGAAGAGCAAAGGCCTTGAGGGAGGAATGGGATTGGCAAGTCCACCAAGTGCTGTGGGGTGACTCAGGCCAAGAACTCTGAAATCAGGCTGTTTGGGTTTGATCTCAGTGCTACCATATAATAACTGTACTAATTTGGGCACGTTACTTAACGTCTCTAAATCCTACTTTGCTTTTCCATGAAAAGGGGGATCTTATAGAACTGTTATAGGATGCTTTTGTGAGATAAGGCAAGAAGAGTGTTCGACAAAGAGTAAGCATTAAATAAATGTAGCTCTTCTTCCTCAATCATTAAGTCTACAAATGTTTACTGAGCATTTTCTATGTTCCAGGCATTATGCTGCAAACTTATTACCAGGGGAATTGTCTGGCGCTGTTATCTAGTCCTAAGGTTTGGGGAAACATTCCCCTCTTTAGACTATGACCTTAGGCTACACATGGGATGTGCACACGGGGGAAGCTATTTACTGTATATGACAGATGGTACTCGTGAGCTAAATGTTGGATTATCGTGCTCGAAAACACTGGTTTCCCCAATAAATATTTGTTGTGTGCCTGCCGTTGGTTAAGCAATATTTTAGGTAATGGGGACAAATTATGAATAAGATAAAGTTTCTGAGCTCATAGAGTTTACAGCTGAAAAGTCTTGGCAAAGACTTATCAATGTTTAATGTGATTATACGTTTCAACAAATAACTCTGAAAAGGCGGGAGTTACATCTAGTGTAACCTTTCTCTGGGTGTAACTAAAATTGTCTGTTTGGAAAAAAGATTCTGTTTGGCCACCAAAGTTTTTACCACTCTTAATATGGAACCAATTTTTCAGTATTTAAGAGGTAATAATATAGGGATTGGAATGGCAGTCTAAGCCATTGGTTCTTTCTTCCATCAAGAAGAAATCCAGAGGAAGCACATTATATATATTGAAAGAGAGTGTGTTCTGAAGTCAGACAGACCTGAGTTTGAAGGCTGCCTCCACCTCTTAAGCCTTAAACCTCAGCTTTTTTTCTCTGTAAAGTGGGGATAATATCTACCTGGAGTTTTGTGCAAATTGAGTGAGTTAATATAAAGTTTCCATCCCAGTCACTGATGTTGGCATGCAATGAATATTAGCTTCTAGTCTCCTTCTTCCCTACTCACTTCCCCTGCCTACTTACATTCAAAACTGGGGTTTCTTCTGCAGTATCAGAAAAATCTAACCCGTGTTTCTCTCATGGTTATCTCAATGACAAAAAATTTGTTGGGACTAGAGATTTGAGGCATCATTTTAGAAATTGTTATCTCAGGTGCCCTTCACCTCCTGGTCTGAGATGCAGTTTTCTGATTAGGCAAACAAGGTGACACTACTGACAGCAATCACATGGGTTGGTTGTGAGAATTAAGTGAGATAATATGTATAAAAAGGGCTTAGCATAGTGCCTGCACAAAGGAAACGAAATGTCACAGCTGCTCTGCATATGCAGATGTTTCAGGCTCTCAGACCAATTTTTCACTACTGGATGGTCTTGGGAAACAACCACACTTATAGAGAATCCTTTTGTTCTAAATTTGAAACTGAGAATAGGCAGTGTAGGATGTGACCTCATTTGTTCTTGGACAATGGCAGTATAGTATCTTGAGACAAATGTGAATAAAATATTACTTGGCCCTTTTGACAAACAACACTTTGCCTAAGTGTGATCAAACAAGAAACTCATGGGTTTCCTCTAGGACACAAATGGATAAAAACTCAAAGAGAATAAGACTTTTAAAGAAAAATCCACATTTGAGTTTTGCTAAACAGAGAATCTTGAAAATTTGAGTAGCAAGAGTCTTGAAAATCATTCTGAGTGTAACAAGTTTTAAATTTATATTTATTCAACCAATACTTATTAACACCCACCATATTTGGGCCAATATTTCCTGGCTTTCTGTTCTGGGAGCTAAGGCCTCAATTTCATGGTGTATCTTATGTATTAATCCCTAGCTTATTTTGAAAGTCCAGCTAACATTCACCCAACTTCCAAACAAGTCATTATATTAATAGGAAGTACACTATTCAAAAGAAAGTACACTTTCTTTTTATTAAACTTTGAAATTTAATTAGTCTCAGGAGAATGCAGTTGACATTACTGTCAACATTACATAGTAGCTGATCCAAAAGGACCTTGGCCAATAGTGTTCTAATTGTGGAAAGCAGAGAGAGGAAGGCTACAGGCTTTGCCAGAGCCAGCTGTCACAAGCTCCATTTGTTCTTCAGGGAAGGACAGAATTTGGTTTTAAGAGCAATTGTATGCATGTCAATGTTTTGAATTTATTTTTCTTCTTACATTGTTAAATTTATGTATTTCAGCTTCACTTTGTTTCATCTGATGCCTTGATTTTCATCTTATTCAATCTCTAAAGTAATAGTCTTTAGAGGCATTTCCCCACTATCTCCTCTTCTATTTCTGTATTCTACCCTTACTAGTACCAACAAATGACTCTGAAAAGGCATGAGATGCATCTAGTGTAACCTTTCTCTGGGTATAGCTAAAATTGTCTGTTTGTAAAAAGGATTCTTTTTGGCCACCAAAGTTTTTACCACTCTTAATATGGACTAACCATAGACTAGTATCTCTCATGAATATAGATGCAAAGTCCTTTGCAAACTATTAGCAAATTGTTTTCAATAATTTAGAGAAAGATTGATATTATCAGGACCAAGCGAGGTTTATTCCAGGAATGAACCTGGACCATTCAGCCTGGCTGGTTGAACATCCACAATCAATGGGTATAGTTCACCATATTAACAGACCAAAGAGGCAAAGCCACGTGATCATCTCAATAGATACAGGAAAAGCATCTAACAAATTCAACACTCATTCAAGACAAAAACTCTCTGGAGATCAGTAATAGAAAGGAAATTCCTCAACCTGATAAAGTCTTCTATGAAAAATCTACAGCTAACATTATACCTAATGGTGAGGGACTGGAAGCTTTCCCTCAAAAATTAGGAATGCGGCAAGGATCTCCTCTCTCATCACTGTTCAGTGAACTTGGGAAGCAAAAGAAAGTCCATGCATATTGGGAAATAAGAAACAAAACTGTCTCTATCTGCAGATAACATGACTGTCTATTTGAAAAAAAGTTACAGATAAATAAGGGAGTCATGCCAGAATAAACTCAGTGCTGGATTGCAGTCAGATATGTCAGTATGAAGTCATGTTTATTTTAATACATATATAGCCAAGCAGATACAGGAGTAAATATACATGGGTTGGTTTACATACACACACATCCTAGTGCTGTCCACTGAGAGCTAGCAACAGTGACATTCCTGAGCAATGAACACACTTAGCTCCAGATTTTGGTTTCTAAACATTATTCTACAATAAAAAGAATCCAGTGTTCTTGGGAAAATGGCTAATTCTAGGGCTGGGGCAGTGAAAACATAAGATGAACTTGGACAGAATTTAAAGAAGTGATTAAGAAAAAAAGGAAAGGATGGGACATATCCAAAGGACACAGAATCTAACCTGAAAGAGTTTCTAATGGCCAAACCTGGAAAATCTGAGAAGCAAAATAAAAAATGATAGTTTATAACCCCCCAAATGAAACAAATATCTATAAATCTGTACTGATATAAATACATGATTAAATAAATAAATACATGGGGAGAAGGAATAAGTTTTACTTACATATATTAAATAATGTTAGTAAATGAAGGAATGAGGGAAATTGAAAATCACCATGAGAACCTCAAAATGATTACTGCAGGAAATATCCACCAAGAAATGCTAAGAATAGTAGGTGAAACTTTAAAGAGAAGTGGGATATCTATCTAGCCTCAAAGTGTCTTCCCCAACATGATTGTTTTAACATGTGTGTCTGAAAATTATTTGATATATGTCTCTCTCTAGGACTTGGAGTTTAATTCATCTCCCCTTGAATGTGAGGTGATTTAATGACATGCTTCTAATGAAAAGGAGAAATTAGTAACTTTTCCTTGAAGAAACCTCATAGATACTATCTTAATCAAGTGATCAAGGTTAAGTGCGCCAATAGTAAGACATACTGATAAAATATCCCTGAAATGTTGCAAAGGGCATATCACCTCTGTGGTGTTCCTTCCAAAAATCTATAACTGAATCTACTCCTGAGAAAACATCAGACAAACCCAAATTGATAGACATTGTACAAAATGTTTGACCAGCTGTTTTGAAATATGTCAGGGTCATGAAACACAAGGAAAGATGGAGGAACTGTCACAGACCAGGGGAGATGACAACTAAGTGCAATATGGTGTCCTGGATGGAATCCTGGAACAGGAAAGAGACAACTTTGGAAAGATCAGAGAAATCCCAACAGAACTATAGGTTAGTTAACAGAATTGTACCATGCTAATGTCTGAGTTTTGATAACTGCATCATGGTTATGCAGGATGTTAACATTGGGGAAAGTTGGGTGAAGGGTAATGGGGGACTTTACGGTCTTTGCAACGTCTTTCAAAAAGACTAAAATTATTTCAAAATAATTTATTTTTGTTTTTATTTTGGACATGAGGTCTCACTCTGTGACCCAGGTTCAAGCACAGTGGTGTGATGATCACAGTTCATGGTAACCTTGACCTCCTGGGGCTCAAGAAATCTTCCCATCTCAGCCTCCCGTGTAGCTGGAACCACAGGCATTCGCCACCATGCCCAGCTGATTTTTAATTTTTTAATTTTTTGTAGAGACAGGGTTTCGCCGTGTTGCTCGAGCTCATCTCAAACTCCTGGGCTCAAGCGATCCTCCCTCCTTGGCTTCCCGAAGTACTGGGATTATAGGCATGAGCCAGCATGCCCAGCCTGAAAAATAATTTAAAAGTTGGCAAAAGTAAACTAAATTCTGACCCATTGTGGTATAAAGTGAGTAGTTATTGTGTAAAATTAATAAATCAAGAAATAGTATTTTAAGCATAATATTTAGCAATACATGAATAACCGTTTGAAGAAACAGCTAAAGAGATAAAAGTGGTTGCATCCAGGGACTAGGACTGGCATGGATAAACAGTGAACCTTGGGCTGCTACTTCTCGTTGTAGGTTTTTCTACATCAATGACTTTTAACAAAACTTTATTCTGAAATAATTTCAGACTTAACAAAAATTTGAAAAAATGGTACAGAGATTTCTCCAAATGTTAACATCTCACATAACCATGCTACAATGATCTAAACCCAGAAAATTAACACTGATAGAGCATTGCTAACAATTTGCAGGTTGATGGTTAACTACTGTTAATTAATTTACAGGCGTCTGTGTTGTGCCATTACATGCTTGATCTGGTCCAGAATCCCGCCTGTGATCTACACTGCATGTCGTTACTGCCTTTCCTTACTTTCTTTCAGTCTGTGACAGTCCTTAGTCTTTCTTTGTTTTTCACAATTTTGAAGAGTATTGACTGCTTATTTTATAGCATATTTCTGAATTTGTTTTTTTTTTTGAATTTGGATTTGCCTGATGTTTTATGCTTTTCTGAACAGATATTCCGTGCTCTTGATTTAAATAAATTAATTATATAACCCAACTACATTATTTTTCCTTAATGTATATTATCTGGGTGATCTTTTCTGACGTTCAATGTATTTAGCCAGGAATTTTATTTTCACCGTATATGTTAAGCCTTTCCTAAGTTTCTTAATGTAGTCTTTGTTTCTTTCTGGTTCCATCGTTGCTGGAGTGAAGAACAATCTTAATTTCTAGCCCCCTCCTAAAGATTCAAGCTGACAGCAAAGGAACGGGTCTAATTTCCTCTGGTCGTGGGAGGAGACCAACCACAGAGGCAGGGCCTGGCCTCGGCCCATCCAGAGGTGCCTGGGGGTTGTTGAAATGAGGGCAAGCTTCCTCAACCAAAGGTTCTGGCAACCTCCCCAAGGCACCTCTTCCCCCTCCCCCCGCCTCCGCCGCACTCCATCACTGAGCACTTGGGTGCTGACCTTTTCAGGTCTTTGCCTGTCAAATGCTTGCCTTTGGCCCAATCACAGCCTCTCACTCCCTTTAAACAAAGAGAGTAGAGATCATCATTGGTGTCTCCAAACGTGCTCTCTGTCTTTTAAAGCTTTGAGAGACTGCACCGGCATAAATCAAAGGAGAGAGAGAGCTTATTCATTTAGCTCATCAAAAAAAAATCCCACTGTCATCATGTCACACACAGAAGTTTATTCTTTTAATAGCTTTATTCTTTGCCTGTTAAGAAAGGAATTGTTCCAGGGCACTCATTCCATACTGTATATTAGCCATTACATTTTTCACAGATGGAAAAAAGTACCTTTTCACACATGATTAATTTTGCAGTTGAATACCAGAAGAGCCGACCATGTGCTGGCTTTGGGCCATCCATCAGCAATCTAGCATCTGTAATCTAGCCACAACGAGTCACTGTTAACATCACGAACAAATCATGGCTGGTTCATGGTCTGAGCAGTTTATGGACCTTGTGTGGGCAGAGCTTGCACTCCCCCCAGGGATTTGAAAATGAGGATGATCTGAAGTAAGGAAAGCTGCATATGAAAAGAGGACTCATAGAATTTTGTCTTTAAAACATTCCTATTAGATTCTTACCAATGAGAGTTTAGAGCTCTGTCCTCTTTCTCCTTAAGGGAGAAGATCAGGGAGAGAATAGTTGGGCTTATACTTTAGAAAAGAGGGGGAGAGCATGATTAGATGTTTGAATTAAGTAGAATCAGAACAGTGGCATAAACACTTTTTTTTAAACTTCTTTTTTTCCAGGAATCTGAACTGTGCAAAAGAATTATCACTCACTGCAAGTCCCAGAGTGAACACTTTCTATGAGATACTCCAACAGCACAATGTGTCATGGAGCCAGGGGGACTGGGTTCGAATCCCAGTTCTGCAGCATAGCAGTTATCTTTGGATGCATCACGTAACCTGTCTGACCTCCTGTTTCCTTTGGGAGAATAATATCCACCTCACACAGTTGTGAGGTTTCATGGGGCAGTGCTAGCATACATGCCAGCACCTGACACTTAGTAGGTGCTGCTGGAACTTAGGTTTCTGTTTTTCTCTCCTCTTTCCTCTCCAAAGAGAACAAGGTGTCTCTGCCAGGATTAACAGATCAAAACAACCTTTCTGGAAGTTTAGTTCAAGGGCAGATCCTTTAGGGGAACATGAACAGCTTTATAAATTGCCTTCAAAAGTAGCACCAAATCCTTCAGTCAGTTTTAAAGGAACTGTTTACCACTGCATATGGCAGTCATTATTTGGAATAATAAACCCTCTGAGAATCTGAACATTCATGGGCCAACAGATGGGTCAACCTGCTTCACAATTTAACAAAGTAATTTATTTCAATCACCGGGACAGGGCATGTGAAGATTACTAATTCAGTTCACAAGCGAAAGCAGCAAACACCACTTGGTTGCTGAATTGTGCAGCCATTATGGAAATGCACACCTGTTCAATTGGTTTTGGGACAGTCTTCATTTCGATTAGGGTTTCGTTTCCTTCGAAGGTATGTATTAAATTGCTATGGATTCTTCTGCTGAAATGCATGTGCTAATTGGTGTCAGGATGAGGAAAAGATCTCCGTGAAAATTTATACTGTAGTGTAGATGAAATTAAGGTCATCAAAGTTGACTTTGAGAAGTAGAACAGGTGTATCAGAAGTATATTCTTATAATAATTGGCCAATGTGTTACTCCTTCTTTTTGAAGCATTCTGCCAGCGTTTATTGGGGAAGAAAAAAAGCCAGGATTATTTTTCTCTCATCTTCAAATCTGCTTAAATCTCCCAGATCTTGACTTTATCTCTCTTAATCCACGCTCACTTTGGAGCCAAAAAAAGAGAGAAATAGAAAGGATGGCCAGAGAGTTTCTCTGGAGAAGTTTCTATGAGCTCAAAAGTGGAATCCAAGGTGCTAAAGAGAACTGGGTGGTACTTCCCTTGATAGTTCTCATCTCCTCTCCCCAATCCCAACACTTGAGTTGGACAGAATTTCTTTGATAGTGTCAGGAAGCTTCACAAAAAGATGGTGCCTGGTTTGTATTTGAGAGCTGCCATATATTAGTTACAATGACCAAAACCACAAGATTGTTTTGTTGCCCTTTTTAAAAAGGAAGATCCTTTTTCTCTTCTACAATGTTCTTCTACACTTTGATGTCTGTACCTATTTTACTTCAATATAGATGAGTTTCCTTTCTTACTATCCCTGCCAAATTATTTAATTTTTGGTTACCTTCTTTCTGCCAGACATTAGGTTAGCTACTGGAATTTCAACTAAGCAGAACACAATTCTATCCCTCATGCAGGCAGGAAGATGGTTAGAGAGGCAGCAGTTATAACTCAGTGAAAATATTACTACAATTGGGGGTAAATGCAGATTATGACAGGACCCCTAGCCAGTGTTCTTAGAAGGCACTTCTATAATATTTTTACATTTCCATGTACATTAGAGCAGTAAATTAATATCTCAATTGGGCTGCAAAATTGTGGTATATTTTCAAAGTTTGAATTTATCAAACTTCAACACCCACATGAATTCAAAGACTGTATACATTAACTCATCTTCTCAGGCTGTTGGTGCTACCATCATATAACAAAATACTTAAGACTAGGTAATTTACAAAGAACAGCAATTTAGTCCTCATAGTTTTGTGGGATTCAAGGTTCAAAATCTTAGAGCCAGCCGGTTTCTTGTCTGATAAAAGCCTTGTCTCTGCTTCCAAGTTGGTGCCTTGTTGCTGCATCCTCTGGAGAGGATGAACTCTGTGTTTTCCCAGGGTAGTAGAGCAAAAGAGCAAAAAGGCTCTAAGCTAGTTCCCTCCAGCTCTAAATCAGGCACTAGTCCATTCATGAGGGCATGACTTAATCATTTCCCAAAAGACCCAGTCTTTTAACATCACCTCAATGGGGACTAAGTTTTAACCTATGAATTTTATGAGCCACTCAGATCATGGCCTTCATGTAGAGGCAATGTCAAAAGTCTCAGTTTGAGAAATTCATGAATACAATGGGCCAAATAGTCCTCTTTCTCTCCCATCCCCACCCCTACCTAACAGCTCTGCATTACCAGTTACTTCTTGGTTTCATTTGGATGTCTCCTCTCCCCAACTCCTGCCCTGCCCCGCCCCTCCCAAAGCTCAAAATATCTTAAACCCAGTTTTTTTTCCTTGTCCTGAACCACCAAATCAGTTCTTCCTCACAAAATCTCTTTTTCTGTGCGTAGCGAGACGGTATTGTCATTCACTTTGTACTCCTCCTTCATCATCGTTCCTTAAAATGTGACCAGGTGTCAAGAGCTACTGGTTCTCCCTCGGCCCTATGCCCTGATCTCTTCCTGCCCTATCTCTCCTCACTGTCATTTTCCTCATTTAGGGCCTTGCCATTCACCTGGATGGTTATCATGCCTTCCATGAGGTTTCTCCTCTTCCTGCCTCTCACTAACATTTCACCCCCTACTTGCTTGGTAAATTGATCCTCTTGGTACCAAGATATCTCCTGGCTCCCCACTGCCCACAGAATTAAATAGAAACTTGCCAGCCTGAGAGCTAAAACTCTTTCTGGAATAGCCACAACTCCTATCCCTCCCTCCACATACTCTAGGCACAAAATAAATGAGAATACTGACTATTCCACAAACACATATTTGCCTCTCCACCTCTCAGCGTTTACATATGCCACTGCTGTACCTGCAGTGCCATCCCAGAAATTCTTCTTGGTGAAACTTTACCCTTCCTTTAAAGTCCACTTCAAATGCTTCAGGAAACCTTCCCTTCTCCCCAACCCACTGCGTGGTGCTCCCTCTTTACAATACTAGTAGCTCTTAGATTCTTTTAATATCTTATGGCTCTTACTTTTTCTAATGTACCTATTCCACAAATACCTAGCAAGCATCTATTAGGAGCTAGACATTATGGCATGTGCTGGGGATAAATGAGGTCTCAATGATCCCTTTCCTCACAGGATTTATAGTCTAATGAAGGAGGCTGACATGGAAACAGACAATTCCCAGAGGGTGATGAAGCAGGAGAGTGTCTGATGGTAGCACAGAAAAGGGCTGCTTCATAAGCAGGGACACCAAGGCAGAAGAGTTCACAGACAAATATCACCATCAGCTATCTATGTTTTCATTTATACCTTCTAGGTGGACCTGTTCTTGAGGGAAACTGGCTCATATCATTTCATGTTCTGGAAGTCTAAGTATTGTGCCTACACATCAGCACTTATAACTTTGGAAAGATGTTTTTGCACAAAGCACCTGAGTCTGAAATTTGCATGAAGCTCCCTTCTGGAGAAATAAATGTCTCAGGGGAAAAAAGTAAAATAGAATAAAATGACAAAAATGATTTTCAATTCTAAAGCTTGAACTCTTTTCCAGAGCTTCATTTAGTTAACTTGCTGTCTGCATAATTAGTTCCATTTTATAACTTTCAGAAATAAGGCCACAGGCTTAGGAGCTGAGATCACAAAAGAGTGTCTAAAGTCAAGTGGCTTTCCTGCATCTGTTACTCACCTCAGAAACACCCCAGCACCCATAGCAGAGTGCTTGACAGAGAGCCCACAGTTAGGGTTGGATAAGCCAGTACTGAGCACTGTCTGTGTTGGAAGCTGGAGAGAGTTTTATCTCGTAAAGTTCGTTTTATAACTTTCAGACACACTTTTGTAAAGTGCTGGCTGGGATCTAAGGATTGGCAACTGTTTGCCAAACCCGTTCTTTTCCTTCCTGGGACAACTAGTCTGCAGTTCTCACCGCCTTTGCAGCTCACTTAGTCACATGATAGAGTTCTAGCCAATGGAGTGTCCCCATCCTAATGAGTCCCTTCTAGGACTCACATTCTTTCTCCTTGCTGCAAAGCTCCCTGTTGAAGATGGCAGAGACAGAGGAGGCACCGTCAGGGTCCCTGCACCTGCATGCCTGTCTATCTGGCACACCACATTGGACTGTTAGGTGATCAAGAAAACAAGCTCCCACTATGCTAAGCCACTGGGACTGGGGTTTATTTGTTGGACACCTGGCATAACCCTAACTGAAAAATCCACTTTATGTTGTGTTTGGAAAATGAGGACAAAGAAGCAAAATATCTCTAATGAGTTCTCTGTGAAACTAGACTTGCCCTGAGGTGGGCTGCTTGTCTTGTTTCTCTGAGTGCCTTCAGTGGACCTTTGGAAACTGCTGCTGTTTTGGAGCAAATTTAGGTAGTTTCAATAGTATGTTTGAAGTTTTTCTGTGTTAAAATTGAAAAAAATTAGTAATTTGTGGATGCAAATTCTTCATAGCTTTCACAACTGAAGAAAACTTTCCAGATGTTTCACAAAGCACTAAAATACTGTACATTGTTTTCTTTTTCAATGGGAAATTATTCATAGAGCAATAAAAAGTTGTTTTTTCAGTAAACAGATTATGTTTCAGTCTGCGGTGTGAACACTTAAATGGAACGATGCAATATGCCACTTTTTAAAAGAGGGGTTTAAACATGTCAGTACAAACCTTTCAATCCTCTGTCCCATAAATTCAACTTTTTAAAATGAAATCAACCTGAGCCCTGTGAAAGCTCATACTACTATATCAAAACCAGTGAAATTTGCCTGTTTATCGCCACCTTTGGAATGTGGCAAAGAAACATTCTTTTCATATGGGACAATTTCTTCAACTTTACACCAAGTGAAATTTAATTGCTTTTCACTTCCTGGAATCATTAGGCATTAGTTCTCCTGGAGGTGAAGCAAAAAGAGAAGCTGAAAAATAAGTCTCTGTTTAATACATTTCACCTTCGAATTTTATCCTTCTTCCCTCTCCTACTGGTTATACAGCAAGTTTGAGCCTGGGAAGCCACTTCAGAAACCTTTAAGAGTTCTCATCAACACAGATACATTGACACAAAGCAGTTCTTCACGTCTCAACCAATACTGTCAGTGAAACAATTGGAATGTCAGGTTCTTTGAAGTTAGCTTTTCAGAATTTTTTTCCAAGATAGAGTCTTGCTCTGTCACCTAGGCTGGAGTGCAATGGAGCGATCTTGGCTCACTGCAACCTCCACCTCCCTGGTTCAAGCAATTCTCCTGCCTCAGCCTTCTGAGTAGCTGGGATTACAGGTGCCTGCCACCATACCTAGCTAATTTTTGTATTTTTAGTAGAGATGGGGTTTCACCATGTTGGCTAGGCTGGTCTCAAACTCATGATCTCATGATTCACCTGCCTTGGCCTCCCGAAGTGCTGGGATTACAGGTGTGAGCCACATCGCCCTGCCGGAATGTTTTTATCTTTACAGAAATGTAGTAAGTGCAGTAGCAAGTAAGCAAACAGAAGCCCGAGCAAAGCCTTCTTCAGGCTATGGTTGTGTCACAATGGAGGAACAATAGAATTGTACAGAACAAGTATAGTAGAGTAATTTAATTCACATCACAACATGTCATTTCACTCTTCAAAGGGATTTGTGGGTTCTTTTATATTTATTCTTTTTATATTTAATGATAAATCGTATATTAAAGTTCCTCATAGAGTATTTGAAAGCAGATTATGGTAATTACCTAACAAAGAGGATGAGAAGGAATAAAATTAAAGACCCTTGTTAAAGTCACTGCCAGAAATGTGGATGAACACTCTGCAAAGACACGGAAGACGAAAGGAAAGCGGGAGTCAATGAGAAGGAGCATAGTGTGCAGGTCACAGCCATGCTGTAATGTGAGGTATACTCATGCTGCATTGTGAATGTCTTGTTTCACTCTTTGGGATCCTCACCCCATGATAATGTGCAAAATGCTCATGGTAATTACAAGACAGGACACTGCTAATAGCTGACTGAGACTGAAAGACTTTAACGTAATATCCCTCTTTGGGAGGTACCAAAGATGAATATTGGAAAACATAGGATGAAAGTTGAAAAATGTACAAAGGAGGAACATAGCATGACTTTTTCTTGGGGTAGATATGGAAGAAGAAAGATGATTAAGTGAGAGCAGCACTTTCTTTATGGGCAAGAACTCCCATGTGTACACAAATTGGTTTTGTAGTTCAGTAGAACTGGAATCTGAGCGTCCTACAAATCTTGTTTTTTTTTTTTTTTTTTTTTTTTTTTCAAAACAGTGGCAACCATTCTTTCTTAATGGATAACTACATACTGCGTGTGTGTGTGTGTGTGCACATGATGAATAAAATTATTATCTCCCACTCAAGAGTTTTTAAATGTGGATAATTTTGGTGCTAAAAACCCAATTTGATTAAAGTCTCTGTATTTCACTATGTTTGATTATCCAGATAGCCAATTTATTGAAGAAGTATTTTCAAGATAGGACTAGAGGACGTATTTTTTTTTAACTGTTTATTAGCTTGATCCAAAGCTTATAAATATTCAGACCAGTGGTTTTGGGACCCCCACTGTACTCTTGAACTAGGTCACACAATTGTTGGGGAACCCTGGGCCTCCTAAGTCTGCAACCAACCAAAATCCCTTGGCTTCTTTAATTTCTCTACCTTACAACCAATAGACTGTAAAGATTTTTCCCCTCTGAAACACCCTTTGATCTGTACTGAATTTCATCTGAATGTAAAGTTTCGTAAGGAGGGGTTTGGCCTTGTTAAAAACTCTCTTGCATAGTGTAGGAATGTTTTTTAAGGGCTTATATGTAGTTCTAATCTAGGCATTGGGGTAGTTACACTAGCCAAACAGACCTAATCTTTGCATTTTTGACTAAGTGGGCGGGGGGGCGGTGGACATTGAACAGCAGGTGATTTCAATAGCTTGTTAGCGATTTACTGTTATGGTCAGTGTGATGAAAGATGCCTGTGGAATCTGAGTGTATATGAGGTAGAGCTGGTAAAAACGTCCTCAAGAAAGTGACTCTTATGCCGAAACTTCAAGGTTAAGTAGCATTTGGCCAGAAAAACAGTCACAGGAAGCACCTTGGGTAGAGTCTTGGTTCAGGGTGGCTAGAGATGGGCAGTATGGCAGAAGAGGAGGCTGGAGCAGGTAATTAGCTGGGGAGGAGCTGGTCTGCAGAAGGTAGAGTTCAGTGGTGGGAAGCTGGTGTCCATTTCTGGAGCAAGAAGTTTGAAAGGGGCTTTACCTAACTAAATATTACTTGCAAAGATTTTAGCCTGTCCATCCTTACTGGAGTGGGTTTGGAGTTGGAGGGGATGGTCCATCATTTTTCACCTGGGTCTGACCTATTCTTTTTTAATTTTAATTTTTTTCAGAGATAGGATTTTACTCTGTCACCTAGGCTAGAGTGCAGTGGCATGATCATAGCTCTGTGCAGCCTTGAACACCTGGGCTCAAGCAATCCTCCTGCCTCAGCTTCTCAAGTAGCTGGGATGACAGGTGATAATGACCATGTCCAGCTAATTTTTATTTATTTATTTTTTTGCAGAGACGGGGTCTCACTATGCTACCCAGGCTGGTCTCAAACTCCTGGCCTGGAGCACTCCTTATCCTCCTGTCTTGGCTTTCCAAAGTATTGGGATTGTTGGCATAAACCACCACATTTGTCCTCTGACCTATTCTTGATGGGTTTGTACCCAGAGCCTGAGGGCCATGGTGGGAATTTGTATAATATCCTGAGAGCAATGAGAAGCTACTAGACAGTTTTAATGAGAAGTGTGACGTATTTATCAAGTGCTGCCAGCTTCTAATGTTAAGGACTTGGATGAGGTTTGGCAGACAGCATTATAATATCTGAGTGTATTTGTAGCAAGTCATGACAATTAAATTTTTAAAAGCTGTGTAAAGGAGGAAGTAGCTGGTTAAACATGATGACATTTGATCTGCCTCATTCTTGTTAAACCTAACAGCATATAATTGTGTTAAAGAGACTATAACTCAGCATTAGTATCTGTAGTTGTAGTAGACTGTGACTGTTTTGAACCAATTAATTTTTGCAGTAATCTCACTCCCAAAAAAATGTGTTCTTGGCCAATTGCAGTGATTCACGCCTGAAATCCCAGCATTTTGGGAGGCTGAGGCAGGAGGATCACTTGAAGTCAGAAGTTGGAGACTAGCATAGGCAACACAGCAAGACCTTACCTCTACAAAAAATTAAAAATTAGCTGGATATGGTGGCATGTATTTGTAATCCTGGTGACTTGGGAGGCTGAGGCTGAGGCTCCCTTGAGCCAGGAGTTTGAGGCTACAATGAGCTATGATCACATCACTACCCTCCAGCTCAGGTGACAGAGCAAGACCTTGTCTCTAAAAAAAAGAAAGAAACATGTGTTCTCAAAAGAAGCTCATGGTGGGAGGAGCAGAAACCACTGCTGACATATCAGTCTTTGATACTGAGGTATAGTAGGCAGACATGAATTTTCCTAGATTAAAAACAAATGTGTAATGAAAGTTGAAATACAAAGAATTTCTTCATTTATCTTTTTGACTAAAGAGGGAAAAAATCATACACATTGTAGATCATTTGAGTTTTAGGCTGATGATTTGAAACATTTTTATAATAATTCAGTGGCTCTTTTTGAATATCCAGATGTTAATAACGGTTCTCTGCTATGTGATTAGGAATGAATCTGCCAAGGAAAAATGAAGCCTTTTTCTCTTGGGGGAAGTTGAGTAACTTCTGTTATTTTCCCAGGCTTCCTGGGGAAGTCTATCAACATGTGAATAAATGATGGGAACTGGAGTCTGGCTGGTCACCATGGAATTATCAGCTTTGTTTTCTGAGTTTGACCTTAGTTATTTACACACTCAGCTTGAAATACAGCAAATGTAGTCAGTTTTCAGCTATTTTATTCCTTGAAATCTAATAGTCCTTAAAGTGTTTGAGATTGAAAAGGCTATGCTGTTTTCGCAAAGGTTTCTGCTGTTATTGGTTGTGAAGGCCATGACTTTTGCCCAAATAAAGAAATAAGATGTGGACTGGGGATTCTCTCTTCTCTGTTAAATTTTTCCTGGGAGAGAAAAAAAAAATATCCTCTTGAAGAAGAAGAAACATTTAAAAGCCACAGATCTCTCTTAGAGATAGAAACCCAGTAACTAGCTTGGATGGATGATTTTTGTTTTATTGTTGCATTTCTGATATGCTACCTGTTTTAAATTTTTCTTTAACACTGAAGATTCCATGCTAGGGTTGTCTGAGATCTAGGTGTTTCTGAATAATTGCATTCCAGCATTAAAATACTCCATTTGGCCTTTAGAAACATCATGATAGTCCTTCTTTATACTGAGGAGCTGAAGCATTTCTGGTATAATGCCTAAACATAAAGATGCATCTGCAATGACCTCTTCCCATATGGGGCTTTCTATTCAGTCCACCAACATTTATTGACAGGATTTTTAGGGATTCGTTGTCAAATGAGATCTTGTTTTGGCAAAATAAAAGCTTATCATCCAAGGAATGAGAAGATCATTCCTTTTTTAGCAGCATTTATAAGATATTTAATATGTATAGCATTTTGCAAAGGAGCAGAAAGTAATAACATTAATAACAATAGCTGGTATTGAGGTAACATTTGTTGCATACAATGAGCCAGGCACTGAGGTAAGTGCATTACATTGGTTGGCTTATTTTTAACTCCAGCACTCTTTTGGGATAGGATTATTACCTCTATTAAGGGATGAGGAAACTGAGACACACTAAAGTTTAGTAATTTGCCTAACACCATATAGCTGATGATAAAGCCAGCACACAATCATAGCAAATTTGTTTCTAAAGCCAGGAAATTTCTAGATCATAGGCCCTCCAACTGTCGTTCATGGTCTGTTTTCTAGGCACCCATGAGATCAAAGCATTTTCATATTAACACTAAGAGGTTACTTGCCTTTCGGTGCTGACATTTGCGCTAATGATGCAGAAGCAATGACAGGCAAAGTGCTGCTTCTTACCACGAATCAAGGTGTTAAAACAAAGTTGTGCTAGTGGTCCTCGTGTTCTTCACCACCATGTATTTGTGGGGAGACAAAAAAATTTCTCTTAACAACATTCTTGATGAAGGATTAAGAAATTATTAATTTTACTAAAACTTGACCCTTATGAAAAATTTTAAAAATATTTTGTGTGACAAAATGAGACATGGGCACAAGGCCCTTCTTCTGCACACTGAAGTACAATGCTATCGCTGTTTGATAGTTTGAAATGTGAGCTGTATAGTTCTTTCTTTCATGGGGCCCATTTTTACTTGAAAGAATAAGACAAATGATGGATATTTAGACATGGCAGATCTTTTTTTAGTGGAACGTTTTTACAAAAATAAACCAAATGTGCTTATTGTGTCAAGAAACTCACTGATAGCATATATGACTAATAATAAAATTTGAGCTTTCAAGAGTAAATTAGAATCTTGGAGATCTTGTATTCACCACCATAAGCTTGATAGCTTCAGAATACTTAAAGACTTTTCTGAGCTCAGAAGTGATATTAACACATGCAATTTTGTGATATAAGACCTGGC